TACTCGAATAACAGAAAACTCAACCACCCTTATAGACAATATTTTAACAACAAATATATATAACAATGACATTCAAATAGGCATTATAAAATCAGATATATCAGACCATTTCCCCATTTTTCTAACAATTAACACAATTTCAACTCCTAACATTAATAAAAGTCAAACTATAAGAAAACATATTTTTAACAAAAAAAATTTAGAAGCATTTAAATATCAATTATCATTGTTAAACTGGAAGCATATAAATTTTAATGAAGACATAAATGCAATCTATAATAAGTTCTTTAATACATTCTTCTCGGTGTACGATGCAAATTTTCCCGTTTCCGAAATAACCTTAAAACCAAAAACCTTAAGTAGTCTTTGCATTACCAAGGGTCTCAAAAAATCTTTAAAAATTAAACAAAAATTGTATATAAAATATTTAAAAACAAAATCTCATGCTAATTTACGCATATATAAAAATTACAAAACTCTATTTGAAAAAATTCGCAAAGACCTAAAAAAAATTATTACTCTAATTTAATCACTAAATATAAAAATGACTCAAAACAAATATGGAAAATATTAAAAGAAATAACGGGAAAACAGAAAACCTGTTCAAATTTCCTTCCGAAAATGATTAAGATAAACAATGTATGTGTATATGAACCAAATGAAATAGCAAAAGAGTTTAATAAATATTTTACTGATATCGGAAGTAGGTTGGCAGATAGGATTCCATCTACAAATATTTCCTTTAATGATTTTTTGACAACTTCAAATAATTTACTTTCTTCCCATGACTTATTCCTAGACTTATCGATTGAAGAGTTTGAAAGAGCCTTCAAATCTTTAAAAAAAAACAAAGCAACCGGTGCGGATGGAATAAACGGGAACATTACCATAGATTGCTATGAAAGTTTGAAAAATATTTTATTTAAAGTTTTCCAAACATCTATACAACAAGGGGTTTTCCCTGATCTATTAAAAATTGCAAAAGTTATCCCGATTTATAAAGAAGGAGAAAAATCAAACGTAAATAATTATTGCCCTATTTCTATCCTTCCTACGTTTTCAAAAATATTAGAAAAAATTATCTTCGAAAAAACATACAACTACCTGGTTTCAAATAATTTACTATATAAAAATCAGTTTGGCTTTAAAAAAAATAGTTCAACTGAACAAGCCATTATTCAATTTACACGTGAAGTCTCAAATTCTTATGCTAAATCACAATATACACTTGGTGTTTTTGTCGATTTATCAAAGGCTTTTGATACAGTCAATCATGATATCTTACTTAAAAAACTTGAGTTCTACGGAATAACTGGTAAAATGATCAAATGGTATAAAAGCTACTTGTCAAATAGAAAGCAATTCGTCTACCACGGAGAAGAATTGCTTCCTATTAATCTTCAAAATAAAACATTAATTGAAATAAAATATGGTGTTCCACAGGGTTCTATCCTTGGCCCACTTCTCTTTTTAGTATAAGTCAACGATCTAAATAAGGCCTCGAATCTTATAAGCATCATGTTTGCCGACGATACCAATTTATTTTTGTCAAACAAAGACATTAACAAACTTTTTTTAGATATGAATAAAGAACTTAATCAAGTTTCTAACTGGTTTAAATGCAATAAATTAAGCTTAAATATTGAGAAAACAAAGTGGATCCTTTTCCACTCCTCAACAAAAAAACGCCTTTTGCCTTATGATTTACCTAAACTTTATATTGACAAAGTAGAAATAAAAAAAGATTCCGTTTTAAAATTTCTAGGCATTTATCTTGACGAAAATATGACATGGAAAGCTCATATTGATTATATATCAACAAAAGCTGCGAAAAGTATTGGTATCCTCTATAAGGCCAGAAATTATCTAAATAAAAATAATTTAAAACAACAATACTACTCATTTATTCATAGCTATATAAACTATGCAAATATTGCCTGGGGAAGTACAGGTAAAAGTAAGTTGCAACGTCTTTACCGCCATCAGAAACATGCAATGCGAATAATATATTTTTTAAATCATTTTTCAAATACAAAACCTCTATTTAAAGATATGAATGTATTAAACGTTTATGAACTTAACTTGTTCAATATTTTATGTTTTACGTTTTGTTGTATGAATAACCCCTTATTTTATGTTTTTAAAGATCTATTTACCTTTAAAGTAAAGAATAAATATAGTTTGCGAAATAATAACTATTTAAAAGAACCCTTTTGTTAAACAAAGTTTAATCAATTTTGTATAGATTATCGAGCACCTTATATCTGGAATAAAGTTGTACAGCCTAATTTAGATTCATCTATCTCTTTTTCTGTTTTTAAAAACTACCTGTATTATACTATATTATATTTATATTGTAACTTTTATATGGTTCTGGCAACAAGATCAATATGATCTTCTTCCAGATTCCAAGTTTATATGTTTATATTACATGGAAATCACGACATGTAAATAATGTAAACTTGAAAAAAAAAAAAAAATTTAAGAATTATTCTGTTTTTTACATTAATCCAACCAAGCAATTTCAACATTTCTGTTTTATGAGTTAACCAGTGACATTTTGATATAATTCTCATTGCTTTGTTTTGAAGTTTTTCTAGGATATTTAAGTTATTTGTGTTGACATCAAGAAAAATAGAAGCACAGTATTCATAGTGGGGAGCAATTATAGTTTGAAAGATTATCTTTTTGGTCCAATGAGTTAAGTATTTACTTATTCTACTAGATATCCAGTTTTCTTTGTAATTTTATTAGAGATATACTTGATATGTTCAGTAAAATTAAGTTAATAATCAATAATAATCCCTAGATATTTCACGCTACCACTAAATTCAATGACCACATCATCCAATATCACTTTTATTTTATTGTTATGATTTATTAAACTATTTTTTCTTATTTTTGAATTAACAATAAGCATTGCCATGGACTTAAGAGTATTTAATTTAAGTTAGTTATTACTTGGCCATTTACAAAGTATTTTTAAATCTTGATTTAATTTAAAAATAGTTTCTTCGAAGTTTGTGCCCTAATACAAACCAATGTATCATCAGCAAACAAATTTACAAAAAAATACTCAATTTTTGATGCAATATCGTTCATGTAAATGATAAACAAAAGAGGTCCAAGTACACTACCTTATGGAACCCTTATTTCACAAACTAGTTTGCCAGATTCTTTACCTTTTATTTTGACTACTTGAGTTCTCATCGAAAGATAGTCTGCAATCAAATTGAGAACTGTACCTTTAACTTTATAACCTGGTAACTTTTGTATAAGAACCTTTCTATTAACTGTTTCAAATGCCCTTTTGAGATCTAGCATTACTGTTACAACAAATTTATTGTTATTCAAAGATGTTCTTCATTTAGAAAGTAGTAGTTGAATAGCTGATTTAGTTGATCTATTTTTTCTGAAACCAAATTGATTATTATAAAAAATATTATTACTTTCAAAATAACTTGACAACTGCTTGTGAACAGCAATTTCTAATATTTTTTCATAAGTAGGAAGCATATTAATCGGTCTTAAGTCTTGTGGAAAGATGTTGAAAGAAGTTTTTCTATGTACAATGACGTCTTCATTAGCCAATAGACAAAGTTTTCTATTACAAAATTTAAGTAAAATGTTTGTCATTTACTTTAACAAAAACTTCAATTGAAGAATTATATTTTCATTGTCAGTTACTGTTTTTATGAACGAAAGTGTTTCCGATGCTTATAACCATGCTAAAAAAAGTGCAAATAAGTAGTTTTTGATTATTAGGTAACCATTGAAGAAAAAAAGCTCTTTTATTGAGTGAGCATATTTTTTATATTTTAACTGCCTAAAATTAATTTTTCAGGACATAGTTTAACCGCTTCAAAAAATATTTTTTTAGAGCTTGTTTTTAGCCTCACATATTAGTGTTACTTGAAGAGCAACATTTACAATAGATAGACGTTAAGCGCATTGTTTAAAAGCAAAGATATCCGGACTACCAATTGTAATAAATAAAAATATCAAAACGATAGAAAACATTTGCGTCACGTGTAATTATTGTTATTTGAATATACGTCAAAATGATGACGGTCTCATCTATTCAATTAAAAAAAAACATCAAGGTAAAGTATTATGATTAATATACTTTACTATATTGTTAAAAAGTATTTTATATATTTAATTACCCTTTTATATATCCTGCATAAATATATAAAAAAACGTTTTTAAATTATGTCATTATTCTAGACCTCTACTTGTAAAAAATACCGAAAAATGTTAAAACGAAGTTGTGAGACGTTTTAATTTCCGTCAAAAATGATGAACTTAAATATAATATCATTAAAATCTAATAGTAGAGAGATTGCAAACAATCTCTAGTTTAGATCAATAATGATCTAAGTTTTGACGTCACGTTACTTTACAATGTGCAAATTAGTATAAGACACATTGCATTAAAAAAACAAAACAATATTTTTGACGTCCAAGTTTATTTAAAAATAGTACATTATTGCATATCAATTAAAATATTTTTAAACACATGAGATAATCTTAATTACATAAAATTTGCCCTTATATTTTCTAAAGGTTAGTATTTTACGGGTAATAAAATGTATATTGAAAAAAGTTAGCAAAGTAAGTGCGTCGGTTTATTTTGTAAAATTATTTTAAACAACTACTCTAAAAATTAAAAATCGCATAAAGTTTGAATAATTGGCGGTGCCTATGATCTATAACAATAATAATTCACATAAAAAAGCTACATACCAAGGTCCGCAAAGACAAGTTCAACTCACTTTAGTGAGAACTAAAGAGCGTCATAACCCGCTCTGACGGACCAAGAATAAGCGAGTTTGTTGAAGTAAAGAAGAAAAGAGTAGTAGTCAAAAGTAATTGTGTTAGAAAGATGACAGAGAAATATGGAAAGACATTACATTAGATGTTAGAATGTACGATTAGATTAATAATATTATTCGATACTGCAATGTAGTTTGATATATACAATTAACACAATAACTTACCATTATTTTTTGTAATTTACTGAAAAAAGTACTACAAGATTACTTTTGGTGCAATAAATTTTGGAAAAAAAATATTTTTTAAAAACAAACTAAAATTTTTTCGATTACAAGTTTAATTCCTGAAACCATTCCAACAAAATCATCAAAAGTACTTAAATTTTAGATAAATAAGTTTATGTAAAGTTTGACGTATGCTTCAATCCTTTTAAAGCATACGTTTATTAAACGTTTATTAAAAGTTTACATTATTGACTATTATCAATCAATATTAAAAGCGTTTAACCGACATTTTATAAACACATGATAAAGAATTTGAAACGTACACTTCATTTTTTTAATGTTTATTAAACATTTCACAATTGAATTATGCTAGTCAATATTGTAAACGTTTAATAAGCATAAGCAAATTAAAAGGCTTTAAATGTAGATCCGAATCAACCTTCTATCAAAATTGATCAAAATATGTAAAAAAAATTTAAATATTGACAAACGTCAATATTTAGTCTCTAAAAGTTTTATACATATTTTGATCAATTTTGACTAAATGGGGAAAATAAACTCATATGCATTTTCAAAAGATTTCAAAGTTGTTTCATGACAATAGTGTTTATTTTAAGAGTACATTTTGAGTTGAGAGTTGTGTTCATCATTAATTTTTTTAAATTTTAAACACGGAATTAGAGTTTCATTAAGTAATTTGTTTAATTCTAATAATAGATGACCATAAACTTGGTCTTCTACTCAAAGTTTTTAAAGCTAATAACTTAGTATATAGTTGTAATCTTCATGTTAATGATATTATTGAAAAAGTAACAATGATTCTTCGAAATAATAGTTTATTGGTTTTTGTTACCCATGTTCACAAACTAACATCAATATAGCAATTTATTGTTGTAAAATAATATAGCAATTCATTGTTGCAACGGATAATTACAAAATCAGTTAGCATATATGGAATGTTTTTAATAGAGATTTTGGTTGTCAGGACATTCAACCACTAGATAAATGAAATATCAAATAAAAAGTTATCAAACGCGTGTTTAGTTACTTTTCATTTGATCCAATTCATACTTAAATGTTTATGCAACTCCTGGATTTCTGAAAAGTGTTAAAAGTTATTTCTCAGCATTAAAATTGCTTCCATTTTTTAATGTTAAAAATCTGTATCAATTAGAAAAAGTTGTTTATTCTTTTAAACTTCGACTACAGAATGTGCACCATGTTTTAAATGGAAGTAAAATAACTAAATAAATAGGTAAAAAACACATGTGATAACCCAATCTACATTAAAAATGCAACCTTAATTGAAACATGAATTTATGATTGAGTCTTTTTAAAACTAAAGAGAGCTTATTTGCGGCAGGGTTGCTGGATAAAAAATGCAAAGAAAAACTAGTTTATGCTGAAGATAAACCTATATTAACAAATGAAGACTTCGTTAAGGAGGTTGGGGGACTAAGGGTTGTTAAGGGATTTTTTCACAGTTTTGTATTTATAAGCTAGTTTAGATTGAGTGCATATTGTAAAAAAATACTTAAAAACATAGATTTTTAAATGTCATATGCTTTTAGAGATTGCTGAATAACTTCACGGACTTTTTCAAGCAAGTTGAAAACACATATTCTCATAATAGAGGGCCAAATAATTTTTAAGACTTAATAAACAAAACGTTAACAAACAATATAAAAAACACTTTTTGTATCTTTTGGATAACATATTAACCTTTAACCACCATAATAACAAAAATTAAGAAACATAAATTTAGGACTCAAATAATAAAAGCCATTTATTGATATTAAGTTATTCAGATACCACCACAACACACTAAGTTGGGTTCAATGAAGTTGTTTGTGAAGACAATTAAAAATGCATTTTATCAGGATCGTTGCTAAATATTTTGACGCCTCAGTCAAGATATAAATAAATTGGAAAAGGCAACGAGGAAGCCGGAGGTTACTAGTCCCTTTTTGTAGTTTAGGTTTTTCAGAAAATTAAAACAAAATCTCAGAAAAAAAAGGTTTTAATCTTATTTTAGAGACATCACTGCGAGACTTCACTAATTTTATAACACATTATTTGTATCATAATTTTTTGTATAACTGGAGTTTTTTTTACGGTATTTTTTCTTGTAATGTGAAAAAAATAATGTGAAAAACTAGAAAGATTGAAACAATATCATCAGTATGGGAGTTTATAAGACACTGCCTAACAGTTTAAGGCAGACTAAGATAGTGTTGTTTTAATTTTTTAACATTAAAATCTGTTGCTTAATTCATGTTTCTTCAATTTATGTGTTTTTTAAATTAGTTTACGTGTTTCTTGTTTTTTTTACTGTTATCTACTACTGTTTTTATTGTTGTCTTTACTAATTGTGTTCAAAAACTAATTTTATATATATTAAATGCCTTGTATTAAACAACAAATTACAAAAAAAAAAAAAAAAAAACTTTATAAATTAAATAAATTGATAAAAAACGACATATAATTATAAAATAAAATAAAAAAGAAATTTGATTTCACTTGAAACTTTACTTCACGAGATTTTTTCATTTGTTTTATTTAATCTAACAGTATTTTTTCGGCCTTTACTTCTGAAAAGTAATTAACAAGATCTTTGTATTAAGTTAGTTAGACATGTCAGTTTTTAACAAGTTTTTATTTGTCTCATGGAACTGCGTAGATAGGTTTTTATTAGATTCAAGTCAAAAGAATACGAAGGCTGAAAACAAGTTTGAATACTTTTAAAGTTGTTTTAGCAGAAATAGTTCAGGATCTTAATTCCTGTTATATACGAATTATTCCTGGAAGTTCGGAGCAGATAGCTATTGCATCAATATACTTTTGAAAGGATAGGGTTTCTCTAGAATAATGTTGTGTTAGTGGTTTTTCCAATTTAATACAAAAAACCATCAGTTATTTGGTACTTTAATCTTGAGGTCACTTATATTTTATATAAAACCAAATAGTTTTTAAAACTTTAGAGTCATGTGTGCTATTTTCAATCCTTTTAATCTTATTATAAATGATATTAAGCATTAACTAGGTTTGAGTCTCTTTTGCACAACATTAACTAGGTTTGAGTCTCTTTTGCACAACATTAACTAGGTTTGAGTCTCTTTTGCACAACATTAACTAGGTTTGAATCTCTTTTGCACAACATTAACTAGGTTTGAGTCTCTTTTGCACAACATTAACTAGGTTTGAATCTCTTTTGCACAACATTAACTAGTTTTGAGTCTCTTTTGCACAACATTAACTAGGTTTGAGTCTCTTTTGCACAACATTAACTAGGTTTGAGTCTCTTTTGCACAACATTAACTAGGTTTGAGTCTCTTTTGCGCAACATTAAGTAGGTTTGAGTCTCTTTTGCACAACATTAACTAGGTTTGAGTCTCTTTTGCACAACATTAACTAGGTTTGAATCTCTTTTGCACAGGCAAAAGCTGTTTATGATTAAGATAATAATCAAAAAATGAATAAATCAAATCAAAAATGACAAATAAACATGACTAGAAAACAATAAAATTGCTTTTAAAAGTCAAACTGAACCCAAGGCTAAAATATCTCAAAACAAACTTTTTGCTAATTCATTAACAAAACTTAATAATTTATTTTTATTATCTTTTAGTGTAATAGTTAGAAAACCTTACATGTTACAATTTTAAAAAAGTAAAAAAAAGGCGGGTTTATCCGCTGACAAAATTTGATGCCATATATATTTTTGCTTAGCAACAAAAATATAAAACTTAAATCTAAAATTTGTTTAATATTCGTCACTGCTTTTACTGTTTTCAAAAAAGTGATATGTCGGGTTTGAGCGAAATTCGTATACAATTTTTGCTATTTTTTTTTTTTAAATTTGGTGGCCTAGGTCTCGTCTAATAGTTAAAAGGGCCCTGCATTTAATTAAATTAGAGTTGCATTTTGGTATACAAGATTTTAAAAGATCAAGAAAGGAATTTTTTTATTCGAAAACCAAGTGTCGCTGCTCTGTGCATTTTTCATCGCAAATTGCTTTCAAGGCACGGTAACACTCTGTGCATTTTTGTGAACCTTAAAACAAAAAAAAAACAAAAAAAAAAAATAATTTTAGCATTTCTTGAAAGGAAGCATAAATATGTTCAAAAATTATTATGAAATTCTTTTTTTTAAGAAAATGTAAAACAATAATTTAATTAGTTCATTTATAATATAACTTAATTAAAATTGGATCAAAATAACTCCATATTGAAAATGCTTCTGTATAAATTATCTTTTGTTTTAAATATTTTTTGAACGCTCTGACCTAAATTCTCTTTCTTAAGACAAAAGTAGATTAAAAAAGTTCCCCTTCAAAAAACAGCGAGAAACAACTTCATAAGAGTGGTTTATTATAATCATTAAATAAATTTTTGTTATAGTGACAAAAATAAAAGTTTACAAAAGTGCAATGCATACATATAAATGAGTTCATTCGTATCACACATTTTATAAATACGATATAAATACGTTACTTATATAGTTATATATTATATATAAAATATTGTACAAATTTAATAAATAACATTTACATTAAATTACTATAACACAAAAATCCCCTAAAAACATTATTAATATAAGTAGTTTATTACGAATCACTTTGAAATATCACAATTTTTATCGTTTCATGTTATGTCAACTTTCAAATATAATCTTTACTAATTTAGTTATATATAAAAATTTTATAAACACTTTTAATTAGTCGTAACAATTAAATATTTTAGCTTAAAGTTCATCTCAAATAAATAAGAAAATTTGAAAAATCAGTTATTAGATCGTATACCAATAGATCAAATCATTAAATAAATACACGTTTTGTAATTACATTACATAAAACTTTCATTTAAATAATTTATTTTATACAATATTTTTTGTGCAACCAATAATCTCTTTGTTTGCAACTTTCACTGCAATAAATTTGTTTGATGCATTTCATACATTTAATGATGCCAGGTTCACCACAAATGCAATACAGCTCAGTAATTTCTAATATATTTAAAACATTAAAATCGACTTTTAAAGATATCAAAGAGAACGATTATATATATACTTTATCTAGATTTTACATCTTTTTCAATTTTTTAAATTTTTTCATAAGTAAATTGTTTACGTCAGCTCATGGGTTAGAGTTAAAACTTCATATACAAAAAAAAAAAAAAAAAAAAAAAAAAAAAACTATGTGCAATCATGATGTGTAAAACTCCAAAACAGTACACGATGTTCCAAAAGTTTCATGTTTGGTATTGATGTAGAGAATATTTTTTGTTGGAATAAAAACTTGCACGTTGATAATTGCATTTTTTCCCCCTAATTTTGATGAAAAATGTGAAACCTTTACACAAGCAACAACTCCTTGATCTACTTAAGACAAGTTAGCCGCAAACAACAGTTTTGTAATAGGTTAGTGTCAAAGAACCCCTGAAAATAATTGTTTGGAAAAGCTATTTTAAACCTAAACGCAATGTTACCCTTGAGTTTGAATGAACAGTCGCTCATATGGTTAACTGTCTTGATATAAGTAAAACCATAAATGCACAAACTACATCAAAGAATCAAAACCTGTTCTCTGTGTCGAGAAACATCAACACCAAAAATTAAAATATTTTGCTTTGATAACGCAAAATTTCATGTTGAAAATATTGTTCTAGAGTGCCTGAACAGTGAGGGCATTTCTATAATTGATTGTACTCAAACCTAATAAATTTAAAAAAACGAACCAATATCTATTGACCGCCAAAATATTTAAAGCATAATAAAACAGCTTATAGAAGTTGTTGCAGAATTACTCAAGGAAGGTTAAAAAAGTTTCAGATCTATCTCAGAACAAAAATATTTACAACAATTTTTACAATATTTACACCTACACAAAAAATAGCAAATAAAACGCCAATGATTCATCTGAAAATTTACCAATAATAGACCTTATAAAGATAAGGTTGTTTATATTCTGATATAAGTTTTGTTAGGTTTAAATGTACAATCACAAACAAGCCTATAACTAGCGTACATATAGTAAGTGTAGTCGAATGTAATGCAATTTTATTGGCAATTTTGTTATTTTAAGAAAAAAAAAAAAATAACTGAATGTTTCTACTTGTAATGTCTAGTAATTTCTACTAATGATGTTCCTTTACAAGTTTTTGAAATGTTTCTAATGGTCGATTGGTATTAATTTAAAAATAGGAACAGTCATATCAATGTACGTCATTGCTGAACAGTAAATAATATTGATTCTGTTATAAAACTTTTTTCCTATTTTATGACAAAAGGTTTAAAATTGTTCTAAAGAATAACGGTTACAGAAAAAAAAAATCTATTTAAAAAAAAAAAGTCTTTTAAAAAAAAAATAAAAGAGAAAACCTTATTATCAATTTAAGTAATGACAATATTTTTTATCGTAAAAATACTAATGATAATTTAAAAGTTGCAATATTTAATTTAAATACAAATTATAATATTAAAAAAGTTTTTTTTTTGATCTAGTTAAATTTCAAGTAAATCAAATGTAGGATCAAATCCTTTTAACTTCAAACAGTTTATTGAATTTAAATTTGAAAATGATTTAATAAAAAAATGAAATTATAAAATTACCATCTTTGGTAATCATCTTCACTTTGATTTGCTTTTTAAATGCATCACGTACAAGAACTGTTTTCTCAGTGGCTGGATGAAATGTCTTTTTATGTGATGAAACAAACACAAAATCCAACTCACTTCCGATTGCTTTTTTAACCAATGGACGAAGAAAAGACAACGAGTTATCTATATTAGCACGAGTTACACCAGCATACTGAAAAGAAGAAAAAGCGCCATCCGTCATCTGAAAAATTTCTAATAACCGCATACCTTCATCTAAAGAATTAGAATAATTTAGTTAATAATTATATAATAAACTAGAATATGCCTTTATAAATATAAAAGCATTTAATTTGTTTATACATATATTATAGGCAAATATACCTGTTTATCAGTGCCGGATCAAGGAGAAGGAAGGAGGAGGAGGGGGCTAGGGGGGGGGCTATAGCTTCGGCCCTCGCAAATTCAGGGGGCCCCAAAAATTTTAAAGGACCTTTTTTTTTTAGTCATTTTTAGGCTCTGGCCCATAAAAATACCTCCAAAAACAAAAATAACCCCGGGCCCCAAGAAGTCTTAATCCGCTGTTTATATCCACTCCTGTTTATATATATTTTAATAAATCATCAAAAAATAATTATATTACAATTTAATATTACATAATATTACATTTTAAAAAATAGTAAAAAATAGAAAGAAAAAACATAAAAAACATAAAAAAATGAAAAAAAAAAAAAAATATATATATATATATATATATATATATATATAAAAGGTAAGCTAATAAATAAAACTTGGTAATAAAATTTTGATCTTTTTGTAACAACTTGAATTAATTACTTTTAATTCTTGTTATATATATATATATATATATATATATATATATATATATATATATATATATATATATATATATATATATATATATATATATATATACATATATATATATATATATATATATATATATATATATATATATATATATATATATATATATATATATATATATATATATATATATATATATATATATATATATATATATACAATCAATTGCTAAATTAGCATCCGCTAAGGTTGCTTCTCTTTATCATGCCCATTCTCTAATTAAACACGTTTCCAATGTATTTTTGTAGGTGTACTGATTTATTCGGCCTTCGCACAGCTCACACATACCAATGTGTGAGCTGTACGAAGTACAGCTCACACATTGGTATGTGTACCAATACCTTTGTGAGAAAAACATTCCCAAATACCAATGGAACCTCCACCGCCTTGTCGATGTGGTTGCAAAAACCGTTCTGAATATTTCTCCGTTGCAAACCTTTTGACATATAGTCTTCCCTTGCGGTTTACAACTTGAAAATTAGCTTCATCACTCCAAATAACTTTTAACCAGTCTTCAACAGTCCAGCCTAATCTTTCTTTTGACCATATTTGTCGTTTACATCGGTCCATGATTGATAAAATAGGTTTTCTTGCTGCAATGTACGTTCCAATACCTTTTTGTATCAATGTTCGCCTAACAAGCTCTCTGCTTACATTATGTTTATTTTTCGACTCGTTGAAGATTTGTGCTAGCTTTTTGTAGCTGTGCCTAGGATTCTCTCTGCAGCTTCTGAATATGCTACTTTTTTCACGGTCACTAAGCTTCGATGGTCTCCCGGAACGCGGCATGTCAACGACGTCCTTGGTAAGCTTCCAGGTTATGTTTTTCGTATGCAAGATTCAGAAACCCCAAGTTTTTTGCCTATTTGAACGTTGCTGTGAATTTTTGACTTAGACATACCAATAATTTGTCATTTGATCTCACTTGAAACTGGTTTTCGCCTCATTTGCACGCAATTTGAAATTGTTTGAAATTTGCAATGATTTCAGTTGATTTTCGTTGAATATGAAGCTGTTGAATAATGTTGTGTCAATTTTAATTGACTGAAAACCACTCAATCTACTTATATTTATGTTTTGTAACAATTTTCGTAACGGATTAATTAATTACTTAACAAATAATTGAACTTTAATAAACTCGTTTAAACTTTTATGACACCAATTAATTTCTCACATCTATCTTTTAATCAAATTCCCAAGAGATCACTTATGAGTCGAAACTTACTTTTTTTATTTATTTTTGATCAGAAAACTTAGTTACCGAATGGGGAAAATTATTTTGATATCTATTTCCGTTACATTTTTATTAAAAAAAAAACAAAAGATTTGTTCTTAAAATTACACCCTCGTTTAAACTTTCGTGAATAGCTGTATATGTATATATATATATATATATATATATATATATATATATATATATATATATATATATATATATATATATATATATATATATATATATATATATATATATATATATATATATATTATATATTTATATATATAGACATGCTGAGAGGTACAACAAAGAATATCATTAAAGAGAAAGAAATCAGTTGACAGAAGTCAGAAAAGAAAGAAACAGCAAATACAATAAAGAGAGGTAATCTTAGCTGAGAGAGGTAATCTTAGGTGCAAACATTGGATTGGATTGGATTGGTTATCATGAGAGGTCAGCAGTAAATGATAATCCATAAAGATGTTAAGTAGAGGACCCAGCAAGAGTTTTGCTATTTGTCAATATATGTACATCAAAAAAATTGCAATAATTATTTGCACTAAATAAATGAGTTTTGTTGGTGTTTTTTAAAATTCACTTTTGCCATTGCAAATCCCAAGCTGTCAAAAAAGAGAGATTTTAATATCAGTTTAATATCAATTTTAAGATCAGTTGCCTGTTGAAAGCGATCAACATAATGACTTTTCATTAAAACGAGAGTATATAGTTGTGTTATCAGCTAATTTAGTATTTTTAAATGTAAGTTTGTTAGGAAGATCATTAATGTTAGTTAAGTAGATCATTAGTTAGTTAGATTATTAATAGTAAACATCCAGTAGAGCCACTTTAGATTTAAAGTTATCAGGAAAATCATTAATGCAGATATGAAGCAATACAGGACCAAGGTTAAAATCTTGAAGTCAAAAATTACTGGAAATGAAGAAAAGTCTCAAAGGATGACTTTAATACCATTTTTAGAAAGGATTTAATAATTTCAAAACTTATCAAGGTACACCATATGAAGTAACCTAAGTGATAATACCTAGATAATATGGGATAATACCTTATAAATAATACTTAGGGATAAAAGGGATAATAGGGATAATAGGGACCAACCTTAGGGATAATACCTAGATAGTATCTAAACTTTATTAAAACCTTTGACATGTCAAGAGCAATGACACTCACAAACCCTTACAAACCTCACTTATTTGTTAACAAAAAATGCTCTAGTCAGCTAGAATGAGTAGATCAAAATCTGTATTGATTGTCAGAGAGTTATTAGACTCAGGATAAGAGTTTTTTAAAATTAAATTAATAGAAGACTGATTAGACAATAGTTTGAGGGGCCAGATTGTTCTCTAGAGTTTTTAAAAACCGCTTAAGCAGTAGAGCCCAGAATGATTTAGATGTCAAACAAAATATTAACATGTTTCTGTGGAATATCAGAAATAGTGTGGCCATTAGATTCAAGTGTCGAATTAGAGAAAAAGTTCTCTGCAAAGAGCGTGCTTTATCCTTCAAAAGGTAATAAGATCAGACCCATGTATTAAAAATAGAATGTTAGACTTAGCTTTGTTAATGAAAAGGTAAAAGATTTTCAAAAAATCTTTAGATCCAAAATTCTAAGATAAAATGCAAGATTTAGCAAACTGAGAATATTAGAACTTAGCATCAGAAGGCACCTTTTTACATAGATTTATTGTAATAATATCAAGGTTTGTGTTCACAAAAGAATTATATTTGTAAAAAAAAAAATAAAAAAAGATTACAAATTTAAATCTACCATAAGCTTCAAATATAAACTACCATATTTGCCTGGATCCAGGAAATTATATAGGAGGTGCAGAGAAGCAAACAACATCATCCCCAGGATCGTCACAAAGAAAATTATAAGAATCCTAGGTTGCTTTATGGTAGTAGTAAGTAGTGTGATGGTAAGGTTGGAAGAAAAAGCATAAAATAAAAGGTTTAGATTAATCATTACATGGTTCCAACTACTTAGAGGAACACAAGGAAAAACTGAACACAGGCTAGGGTCAGAAATAAGGCAAAAAATCAAGTAGTTAAGTCAAGTGATTAAAGTTGTCTGGAAAATGAGTCTGGAAACAAAGTTGACGATCTGAGTAAGAGAAATACAAAAGGTGGCTACAAAAGGTGGCTTTGAGAATTGAGCTTTTGACCTGCCAGGGTTAGCAGTATTACAGCCAAGCTATTCAGTATGATGAGCATTAAAGTTACCAATAACAGCAAGATTGACTAACAGATAAAGAGAAAAAGCTCAGTTAATATGATCAGAGATAATATCAAAAGAAATGTTTCTCCTTGAGAAGAAGAATAATAATAAACAACAAAGAGATAGGTAATTGAGTGAAGAGGTTCTAAACGAAAACACATAAACAAATGGTCAGAGGATTCAAACTTGATTTCATGACCAACAGGTAAATTGATGTGTAAGAACATGTCTAGTCCAAATTTATCCAATTTTAGGTAGTTTTAGGAATCAGATTGAAATATCCATCAGATCTTTAGATCAAAGACCTAAAGATGAATCAGCTGAATCTAAATTAAACTCACAAAGAGCAAGTAAGTCTGGTCAATTTTTCAGGAGATAAGATTCAACTAAGGAGAAGTTAACTTAAAGACTACAAATAATTATAAATGATAGATTGAAACTTAGATTGAAAATTAGACAATGAAATTCTTTTTTTATGTTTAATATTTTTTATTATTTTTGTAATATTGTAATACCTGACAATAGAATACCTGTTATGCATGATACCCTAGGCTTGAGCATATTATCTAACCATTGCCTAGAAAAGTAAATCTTAGAAGGCAGCAGGACACGGGGCAGGTTGTACTAGATTGCATATTGCCAGTAGTAGGGTGATTATAATAACCCTAAATATATATATCTTTATATATAGGGTTGATATATATATATATATATATATATATATATATATATATATATATATATATATATATATATATATATATATATATATATAATGCTGACCTAAGTCTCTTCAATAATTTCCACTCTTTAAATTTTTAAATAACTGCAATATATAAGTATATTAATTGTTTGTAACATACCTTTATTAATAGTAATCTCTCCTGGTAATGTTATTGAAGAGTTGTAATGTGGATCATAATTCGTCTGAGCCTCTGCATTATTTACTTTATTAATTGGAGGTACTGTACCAGTTAAATTTGTTGACATTAAAGAAGTTGCCAACGGAGAAAGAACTCCATATCTTTTAGGTGGCTCAGAATACTGCATAAAATTATAAAAATCTTATTTAATTAAATTTTTTAATCTGGTTTATATGTTATAAAAATACTTTATTACTGTATTTTATATATAACATAAAACTAGCATTATATAATACAATATGCTAAATTGTAAAAATGTTACCATTTTATCTTGCTCATCATTCTTTTTTGCATCAACTCGCAAGCATTCCTCACTAGTAAAAATATCTCTCACATTCTTTAGAGATCTACTTGTAATTCTATGACTCACTGTGCTGTCATCTGATTGTTTTTTTATGGAACTTGTGGACCTGATAACATTTTCTGGAAGAATTGTTTGATCATAGCCATAATTTACAAATGCAAATTTTTTATTACTCGATACATTTTTTTCTTCCTATTATAAACGAAAAATAAATAAATAAAAGAAAGCAATTAAAATTAAAATATTTTTTTACCTTTTTTATTCTATTTTTATCAGTGGCGTAACTATAGATTTGGGGCCCCCTTGCCAAAAAAGTAAAGAGGCCCTTCTTAAATTTTTTCTCCAAAAATGCCCATAGGGAAACGTGAAAAATTATAAAATCATAAAATGTATTTGATAAAACAGAAATTAGTAACACTCATATTATTATTACCAGTCATATTATTCATATGAGTAAAACTTGTAAATCATTGCGGGACCCTCTAAGCTCAGGCCCTCCCCCCCCCCTTGCAGGGTTATGCTCCTCCCTAGTTACGCCACTGATTTTTATTTAATTCTTGCTTTTCCTTCTTTTCTATTCTTTTTTAATTTTCCAGTTTCTTAAACACGACAAAGCCATATTATATTGTTTTAATTGATTTAAAAAAAATAAAATTATATAATACTATTGTAATCACATTCTGGTGCAAAAATAACTTCAACATTTTAAATTTAAAATTTAGCCCCAAGTAATTAGTATAACGTTCTGAAATAATATTAAAAATTTTTCTTTCCATGTTTCCTTTATTTAATTCATACCTGTGCTTTTGCTTTTCATTTTCTTTGTCATTCAAACTTTTTACTTCATTTTAATCTTAATTTAATCTGAAGGATTAAATTATTTATTTGTTAATTTTTATTTTTCAAAATAATCCCTTAGAGTTGATGTTTTATATATATATATATATATATATATATATATATATATATATATATATATATATATATATATATATATATATATATATATATATATATATATATATATATATATATATATATATGTTTTATCTATATTATTTTATGATATGAATAACTTTGTATTAAAAAAAAAAAAAAATGACAGATTTATTAAAGTTGGAAAGCAGGAAAACACAATACAAAAATTTTCTCTTTTAAATTAACTATGTGGTTTCTTTTTTGTTCATTTTTTTTTTTATATTTGAAAAATTCCAGAATATTATTACTATTTTAAAAAAAATTTATAATTTTCTTATTTTTTGCGCTTTTTCTATTTTGTAAACAATCAAAACTTTTTATACCCCCTCTTAGAAATTTTTGAAATTTTTTATTTTTGTAAGTTTATATATTACAGCAAGTTGTTTAAAAACGGAAATAGGTTATCTGAATAAAATTACAAAATTGAATAAAATTCAAAAATGTGTGATTGCTTGCTTACAAATCATTATGCCTAAAAACTGCCCCCCCCACCTTACTAGATCGTCTGCATCCCCCAAATTAAAAAAAAAATAAATAAAATCGCCCCCATTACAACATGGTTTTGATCCGCCCTTGTATATGTATATATACATACATACATACATATATATATATATATATATATATATATATATATATATATATATATATATATATATATATATATATATATATATATGTATATATATATATACATATATATATACATATATATATATATATATATATATATATATATATATATATATATATATATATATATATATATATATATATATATATATATATATATATATATATATATATATATATGTATATATATATATATATAATTTTTATTTGAATATATATCTAATAAATTATATGCATATCTTTAATTATTGTTGTTCCATTATGTTGATGTAAAAATATATTTATTACTATTATTATCATTATTATTATGCTAATTATAATCAATCTTAAATTAATATATATCTTTGTTTTGAATGCTTGGGTAATATATTAAATTATTGTAATAGTGAAGATTCTTAATAAGATTTATGAAGTAATCATGGTAGTAGTGAAGATCCTTTATAAAGTAATCATGGTAGTAGTGAAGATCCTTTATAAAGTAATCATGGTAGTAGTGAAGATCCTTTATAAAGTAATCATGGTAGTAGTGAAGATTCTTTATAAAGTAATCATGGTAGTAGTGAAGATTTTTTATAAAGTAACCATGGTAGTAGTGTAGATTCTTTATAAAATATTCGTGGTAGTAGTGAAAATTCTTTATAAAATAAAAACAAATGACTAATCTAAAATTATCCTAATTCTAAAGAACTTTTTGCATAATTAATTTTTTAATTCTAATTTAGTTGATGCAACTTCCTGGTTGCAAAACAACTTCAGCTCTCATATAATTAATTATAAATTCCTGTAAATTATTTTTCTTTAATTTGAATTTTTTTGTGTTTAAAGATTGTTAATATAAATTAGTAAAAAAACTTATCTTTTTTTACATGCATATAAACAAGTACAATTTTTTATATAGAAAATGTAATATATTTAAATTCATAAACTACATGTCTTATGGGTTTTAAAGTCATTCAAACTCAAAAAGTCAAAATTTGGTTTTTATCTAATTACGATTATCATAAACTTTTTTTTAAATTTATTTTTATTCGTAATTTTATTCATACTTTTTTTCAAAAAACACTGAATAAAATATTATTCAACTCCAGATTTCATTTAAACAGTTGTTAAAAAAATAACCTCTCTATCAACTAGATCCATTAATGTAGCAGAAGAACTTTCTAATATATTTTCACTTGTACTCTCAGATTCATTTTCATTATCAATTTCATTTTCAGTTTCAATTTTAGAAATAGAAGGTTGCAAAGCAACAAAAATTTTTTGGTGAAGCCATTTATCTTCGTTTATTGAAATTTTAGAACCCTAAAAAAAAAAGTCTGTTTATTAACTGAAGCATCTTATAAATGTATTGTTAAAATCAAAAAGAAAATTTTAAACTATAGTTAATACACTAAAATAATATTTTATTCATAAAATAAATATTTATTTACAATTTATAAATTAATATTAACTAATAAATTAATATTAAACTTTTACATTTAAAAAAAAAAAAAAAAAAAAAAAAAATAGTGTACCATATTTAAGTTCGATAGATCACTGTTTGTTTTTTCAAACATGTTATGTTCATCACACTAAACACATATCATTAAAAAAAAAAAAAAACTTAAAAATTTAATTTCCATTAAGTAAAAAATTTATTATTTACTTTGAAAATATAATAACTTAGCTTGTATTATTTTTATTGTTATTATTTTTTTCCTTTTATTTTTTTTATATCTTTATAGTTTTAATAATTAGTTAAGTAAAACAATCTAAAAGATTATGGTCAGCAATAATTTGCTGACCTCAATCAAAGATTGAGGTCAACAAAAAAAATTTGATATAAAGGTCTCACCATAAAACATAGAAACAAGGTCGGAAAAATATTGCTGACCTCAAACACTTTATGGTGGACCGTGCTGAATGCCAACCCTAATTCCGAGAGCTATATATATATATATATATATATATATATATATATATATATATATATATATATATATATATATATATATATATATATATATATATATATATATATATATATATATATACATATAACTTCTTATAATTATAATTTATATTTAAATAAATGATTAAATAACCATTAATTTGTTTATATTTTTACATTTATGTATTAAATAATCATAAATCATAAACTCATTTTTGTTTAATTATATTATTTTTATTATTTATATAAACTTGTATGTTTTATCACCTTTTGTTCAGGTTTTCCAAGCATCTTCTTTCTAAGTTTTGATTTATACCTTAAATAAAGTAAAACACAAGTAATTCCAACAAAAAAAGCTACACATAAGCTTGCTACTGCAACCTTCCACGAATTAGAGCTCACATCATTTTTTTGTTGCATAGTTGTTCCATTGACAGACAAATAGTTGGAGGCTTTCAACAAAACGCCATTATACTCAAATACTAATTTACCATTACTTAAATCTGAAAACAAACTATCTACAAAATTGTTTTGATCTACCTTGTCTATCAAGATATCCATAATAATATAAATACTTCCTTTTGTTGCATTTATCATTGTAACTGTGACAACCCGATGATTTTTATTGTATTCATAGTTTTCATAAAACAATTTAAACTGACTTTCAAATAAATCTTTGTTTGGAAGCACATGCTTGTCATAGTCATATTCAAACATGATTTTAATGTTTGCAGAAACTGATGGAGTTTTGCATCTGTGACTTGTTTTACTAAATGTTAAAGTCAGCTGAGGGCTAAAAGTGCTTTCTAAACTTAAAGTTAAACCTGAATCTAAAGCAATAATTTTCTTCTCACTGTTTAAATCAAAATTTTTTTTGAAAGTATTTATTACTCTTCTAGGAGAGTAGTAAACTGTATTTAGAATTAAAACAGGGGGAATTTGATAAAAAGAAACACCTATGTTTTCAGCATGAATTTGCCAATCAGTAACACTAAGAAAATATCCATCTAAACTTTTATTCATAGAAACAATGTCAACAAACTTTATTTTGCTATCTACTTTAAAAGTGTAGCTATATAATATATTGATGTTTGATTTTATTAGCTGTTCATGAACAACATTACTGTGATAGGTGATTACAGCAAACATATCTGAGTTAGGTTTTTTCCAGTTATCTACCCCAAAATGTTTTGATATTACTGTCATCAAAAACTGGCATCCTGAAGACTCAGAAGGTTCTTTAAATTGAATATCTAAAATAGCATCATTGTTTCCAATATAAATGTCGTAAATATTCATGACATCTTCTTTATCAATAACTCCATTCAGATCTGTATCCATATTAAAGTTATTAGAATCAACAACAACAGTGCCATATAAATGTTGATAATAACTCAGACGTGCAACATCAAATATATCAAATGAACAATCTTTATGTATATCATATGTTATGTTTTCTTGACAACCTGGCATGAATTTTATTTGGTTTAGAGATTGATCAACAATTTTGTTTAAAGAATATTGAAAAATTGACTTTGTGATATTTTGTGTATTGATTAACCTCATGACTGCAAACTTAACAAAACCTCGTTTTTGTTCTGAAAAACCAAGTACGCCAATAAACCTTTTTGTAAGATTGTTTGAATTTACAAAGCTGTAGTCGCTCTCAACAAAATCAGCATAAACTGATGATTGAAAGTTAATTTCAACATCAAAAGCTAGTAAAGGATCCCATCCAACCACGATATAAAATGGAACAGTTGTGTTGCTTTGAAACTCACTTAAATTGTTGGTCTAACAATTAAAAAATGCATAAAATTAATGTAATAGTACAATAAAAAATAAATATGCAGATATTATAAAATATTTAGTTTAAGAGCTAACGCTTATTTATTATAAAATGAATTATTATTTTTAATTTCAAATCAAATTTTGAATTGTATCACTAGCTTAAAGAAATTCTTCTATATTATGAAATCAGAATGTAATTTGAACTCTTTTTTTGTTTTATTTTACCTGATTTTACATTTTTGCATTTTGTTCAGAAAAATCTATTATTGTTATATTTGATGCAGGTAATCTGCGGTGCTTAAACTAGACTGAGTAATGAAAGCTCACATAGAAATATGAAACATTTCTATTGAATAAACTTTTTATACAAAGGAGAATAAGTAATAAAAACAAAGGAAAAAAAACAGATTTTAGAATAAACACAGATTACTTTAAAGAAAAAAAAGCTTATACACAAATCATAGTCAACAATAATTTTATTGTTAAAGTGTGTCGAAAACAAAATAGGACACATAAGTAACCATACATCTTCATTAAATATAAAAGTTTAACTCACTTTAAAAAGATATACATATGCATAGATATGTCAATATTTAAAACTAATAAATATAAAATGATAGAAGGTATGAGACAAAGAAAACATATTATTGCTTTTGTGTAATCAAAATTTATGTAGTGGTGGTAATAAACTTCTCCTCAGAATCATGCTTATTATTACCAGCGCTTTAAAGAGGCTCAGCACCAATATCTAGTTTATCCCATTCAATAAACATCATCACCATTTATGCTTTACCCTGTAATTTATGTCTGCTTCATACTACAGTAAAAAACTTTACTAAAAACTTTATTAAAAACTTTACTAAGAACTTTACTAAAAACAGCAATATCCAAATTGTTTTTTCAATATTTTTGAAGAAATAATAAGAATAGTAAAAGATGCGAATTCAATATCAAATACTATAACGAATTCAAAATAATATATATATATATTTATTTGTATATATATCTATTTGTATATATATATATTTGTATATATATATATTTGTATATATATATATTTGTATATATATATATTTATATATATATATATATAAATATATATATATATATATATATATATATATATATATATATATATACATATATATATATATATATATACATATATATATATATATATATATATATATATATATATATATATATATATATATATATATATATATATATATATATATATATATATATATATATATATATACAAATATATATATATATTTTATTATATATATATATTTCTATAGAAATATATACAAACATATATTTCTATAGAAATATATACAAACATATATTTCTATACAAATATATATAAAATTATATATATAATTAGATATAGAAATATTTATAAAATTATAAAAACAACAAATCCATACAAAGTTTAAGACACAGATACCTAGATCAAATGTTGCAAACCAATCAACTAAACAGGTTTTCAATAAAACGTAGCAACAATGGAAAAAATATTAAACGAAACCACTACAATATCAAACGTCAAAAGCAGTCAAGCGGGAAAAAAAAATTATTCAGGTCACCCTGACTTGTTTTTTTATGCAAAGCCTAGGAGAAATTAACTTACTGATTTAAAATGCCTCAACCTTTGTGTCTCTATTTCTTTAACTATTGGGCTGACATAGCTTTAAACCTCTGTTACAATGTTTCAACATGGCCAACAGATTTCCTGAACTCTGTAGTAGCTCAGAGAGGCTGAATACTTTGATACTTTCCATCAACAGATGCAAAATACCAAAGTATTACTTATTATTATTAGTGCTATGTTGTGCATAGTTGGTGTCCTGGTTAGTGCTTTTGGGGTATCTTTTTGAGCTATATATGAAACTCTTTCTTACAATCATAAGTTAATTAGTGAAGTTGAATGCACTATGATCCATATTTGATAATGTTAAGTTTGCTAATTACATGAAATATAAATAAAATAACTAAAAATATTAAGAGCAAAAAACCATCATCATCACCTAATTGTTTTAATCTATTTTTAAACATTCATGGTCTAACTCTGACCCTTGAGCACAAATGCTCCTTGTTCTCCTTGAAGGGATTTGAACCAGGCTCTGGTTTTAATAAAATGTTTTTCTTGTAGTTCTTTTTTAGTCTCTATCATTGCAATACTTATTATTATCTTAAAAAAATGAGATTTCTTTCATGATTATATTTGTGTCTTTGGGATGATTTTTTTTTGTATCTTTCCACTGATAATTGCATTCCTAATGCAATCTCCTAGATTCAGGCAGAAATGAAAGTTTTTATTCCTTTTAAGAATAGCATTATAAAATTTTCACACTTTTGTTCTTTATCCATATCCTTGTTTTTTATGGTTTATGCGAAAAAGTTTTTGAGGTAGTTGAAACATTCCTTTCTAACTACAGTATTAAAATTGTCCTCAAAGCCCAACACTCTTCATCATTTCCAGTAATTTATAAGGTACTTATAATGAGGTTTCATCCCTGGTCCTGTATAGTTTTTCATATATATATATATATATATATATATATATATATATATATATTATATATATATATATATATATATATATATATATATATATATATATATATATATATATATATATATATATATATATATATACATATATATATATATATATATATATATATATATATATATATATATATATATATATATATATATATATATATATATATATATATATATATATATATATATATAGATATATATATATAGATATATATATATATATATATATAATATATATATATATATATTTCATATATATATATATATATATATATATATATATATATATATATATATATATATATATATATATATATATATATATATATATATATATATATATATATATATATATATATATATATATATATTAATGAAAAACTATACAGGACCAGGGATGAAACCTCATTATAAGTACCTTATAAATTACTGGAAATGATGAAGAGTGTTGGGCTTTGAGGACAATTTTAATACTGTAGTTAGAAAGGACAAATTTTAATACTGTAGTTAGAATAGCACTATATAATAATTTTATAGTGCTATTCTTAAATATAATATATATATATATATATATATATATATATATATATATATATACATATATATATACATATATATATATATATATATATATATATATATATATATATATATATATATATATATATATATATATATATATATATATATATATATATAAAATATATATATATATATATATATATATATATATATATATATATATATATATATATATATATATAAAATCATATAGATCTTCCTGATATTAAATCTAATGTGTCCCTATTTGCTAATGATACAGCTATATGATCCAATCTTGACAAAAGGTCATCACTTTTGGTTGCTTAAAACAGACAGTTGATCTTTAATCAGATATCTCTTCTATGACAACTTTAGGCTTGCAGTTGCTATTGATTTTTAAATGAAACAATAGTCAGTTATTTACTACCAACAATCATCACATATTGCTGATATTCCTGTATTAATGATAGGTAAAAAAATTTTTAATTCAACTAAGTGCTCCAGTTTACATCTTCTTGAATTACCATTCACTACTAATTGCTCATGGAAGTCAACTCATTACAAGTCAACTCAATACAACTCATCGCAAAATAGGCGTCTGCCAAGGTTATTGTCTCTTGTTATTGTGCTCCCAATTTCCGACTGATTTCATTCTCTAAAATTCTTTTATTTTTTCCTGAACGAAAAAAATAAAAGAATGTTGTCATATTTGAGCTGGTTTTTCTCATAATGTTTTTTCTTTTCTAGACAAGATCCAAAAACAATTATTAGTATAGTTGGATTTGCTCTAGGGTTCCTGTTGCAGGGTTGCATCTCTATCACATATACCAATATCGTGCATCTTGTCATTTAGCAAATTTGTATCCTTTTACTTTATATGTTTCTTCATGCTCTAAAAGGTTTTATTTATCAAATTTTTTCCATGCACATACATGGTCTGCAACCCTCTTCAATCTCATGTTTTCCCAATGCATAGAAAACTCAAAACACTTTTTCAAATTAAATCTCTAATAAAAAAAGCAATCAATTTGCAAAACAAATTAATTTACAAGACTCTAGTTTATTTACTTATAAATTTTCAACATCACATAATAACCCATGACCATATATACATAGAATTGGGTTGACCATATACAATAGTCAACCCAATTCAAAAATGCACCAGTTAAAGCATCATAAGCATCAATTCTTAAAACATTTTATATTACATTTGTGAGATTACAAATACCTTAAGCATGGTAAACCTGTGTTGGCTTTTATCAACAAAGTTGATAAAAAAACAAAATAAGTAACCACTGATCAAACAGCTCATACATAACTTGATGAAAAAATAATTTTTCTTAAACAGATTAATTGACATTCTGGACACATTTTAAAAACTTCAAAACACCCAATTCATTCAAAGAAGTCTGTCATGGCCAACTATAATAATTTTGTCAATACTTTCAAAATAAAAACTTTTACTTGGCTCATTTAAATTAATTTAATATAATGGCGTAAATATGCATAAAATTCAATGCAAAAATGCGGATAGCATTTTCCAAGCTTACAACGTAGGGTAGGTTGACCACCTTACCAAATATGTAAACCTAAACAGCCTGTTGCTGAAGGACATCACACTAGGGAAGTTTGCTGCTAAGGTTTGGCTAAAGAGGTTGAATCATAACGATGAAAATTTATAAAATACATAAAAATAAAGAAATTCCATCTTGCAACCCATGACCACCCCTAAAATGACTATATGTGTGGTCATGACCACTTCTAGAGACCAAATATACTCAGATTTGTATTTGTTGACGCTAATTAGCTACATTAAGACCTCAATTAGCTATATCGTGATATCCCGTGACCATCTGTGTGATCATGATTACACCAGACTTAAAAGAGAGCTTGAAAATCAATTGCCCATAAAACACCTACAAACATACATCATGTCTATAATTAAGCTATAAATAGCTTTGCTATTCTTGGGCAGTTCTACCTTACTGTGAGGTGGTTTAAAATATTAAAAAAAAAAAAAGCTATATTGAGACCCCTAATTATGTATAAACTATATTGAAATCCTTTAATATATAAAACCCATAATTTTTTTTTAGAAGTTACATGAGGCCCTTAAATTTTTAAAAGCTCCGATATATATTAAAAAAATATTTTTAAAAGTACCTCATGTTGGGTCTTAAATAAAAAAAAAATTAAAACTTATAATCACTTTTTAAAAACTTAAAAAAAATATATTTAAAAAAAAATTGTTAAAACACCTTTAGTTCATTTTTATTTAAAAAAAAAAAATTTATGCATTAAAATCTAATCTTTTTTTAGGGGGTCGAATAAAAAGCTTTTTTAAATTATAATTTTTTGATTCATCCTAATTTATACAACAATTTTTGCTCACAAAACATTTAGAGATTCTTTTAACTAATGAAACTCTTAGTTTATCTTATTCAGATCATTTCTTTTTCTTAAACACTTTTTACCATTTTATTGCCCTTTTTTATGTTATTATTTTTGTATAAAAATTGTTGGTGCAATAAAAAGCATCAAACAGATTTAGGGAAAAACACTTTAAACTACATATACAAGAAAAAAAAGACACGGAAAAATTATAATACAAAGAAGATTTTTTAAATACTGTTATCAAAAATCATACTTTTAAACAGCAATATTTCATATTAAGGTCTGATTGTTTGTCCTAACAAACGCTTAATTTAAATGTAAAACTCTGATAAATTTCATGTCATAAAATTTTGCTATATGAGCCATGCTTTATTTTTTATACTTTTACAACACATCCAGATAAGGGTAATACAAACAAAATACAATAGAACAACAAACTTACCTTGCTACCAGCAATAATTCTATACTTTACACTAATAGATTTAAAAAAAATCAATACAGAGCATGTTGTGTTTCTTTGTTTTTGATCTTGAACAAGTATAGTCAAATAATAAAACCCAAGTGTAGGACTTTTATTTAAACTAATTTTTCCATTGTTATTTATGCTAAACATATTGTTGTCATTACCATTTGATATAGAATAAGTAATGTCTGAAGTTCCATCATTTGTAGCATTAATGGTTGTTATGACAATATTTTCAATTGGTTGTACAGTATCATCAGAAAACACTTCAATTTCATTGCCATGTAATAAACGGAGTGGAAATTTGTCAATGGAAAGTACAGAAATAGGGTGAACAAATGAAAATGACTGTTCTGCAGGATAGGTTACTTTATATAAAATACGATAACCAAAACCACTATGAGTTATTGCAAGATCAGTAAAAACAGCTGTTCCATTAGAAAAGGAAACTGTGGTAGTTCCGGTTAATTGCGCGTTAGGATTGCCAAAACCATCAACTAAACTAGCTGTTATTTGCCATGGTAAAAGCTGTGAACCAACATTTTGAACCCATTTGTTTGCATAGTCATTTAGTTGAAATTGTGGCTGGATTTTAAATTGCAATGTCTCAATACTTTCAGAGCTAGGATTATTTACTATAACAAGAGTTTTTGGAATTAGGTAATCAATACTAACTTGATTATTAATAATGTCTGTTGGTGGTGGTGCAGTTGAATTATCAGTTATGTTGATTAATATTGTTGGAGGAGCTACCGGTAAAGGTTGTGGTTGAACTACATTGATGACATTTAGTTCAACAGAAAGAGATTTAGCAAGCTGTCCTGTTTGAAAACTTTCTACTAAAACTGCTGCAATTTTAGTGATCTCATTGTAAGATGCAGCTGTAAGAAAAATAAAATAACAACTACTAAATACAATCAAATAGTAATCTAATGAAAAAATATAAAAAAATATAAAATAAAACCTGTATCATTGGCTGAAGTATAATTAGTTGAATTTGGTGGATTGCCAATCTCAAACTAAAATATATAACAAAAAAACTTTGAAAAAAAAATCAATATAAATTTTTAACCTTGATCTATTTATATATCTGGATATTTTACTTATGTAAATAAACAACTCTTTATCTCTTTCTTAAGTCCATGTTGTGACACTCCTGCTTGCAGCAGCAGGCTATAAGATAGTCAATATATCTTCTGAAGTTTATATCTACTGAAGTCCCTGACATCATTTAAGTGTGACGTCAGAGATGTTATTTAAACACGCATTTGTAGTTAACACTGTGTTTCATCAATAAAGATGTGTTTCATCAGAAATAAATGCTCGTTATCATTAAAGACTTTTTTCTGAGTCAGTGTTAAATGAAAATTTTCTACTAATTTATTATTGCTCTGTTCTTTTAAGAACTATTTAAAGAATTTTGAGCACTCAATTTTGTAGAATACATTTTAAAATTGTATATATATATATATATATATATATATATATATATATATATATATATATATATATATAAACATTACCTGAACATTAATGGGTGTTGGAGTTTCTCTTCGTTTTCGCTTACTTGCTGCAACAATGCTCATAATTCTAATTTTAGATTTATCAATTTGCAACAGATCAGCCAAATTTTGAATAAGATTTTGTTCAAAAAATTCCTCAAAACCAACATCACGCATTGGTGTCATTCCCATACTTAACTAAAACACAAATGCTTAAAAGCATTAAAATTAACATTTTTTATACACAAGACAATGTTCAGTAACCAATAAAAAAATAATATAACTGTTCTAAATAAACATAAAACATAGAAACAAGGTATGTATATATATACATATTATGTATATATATACATATTATATACATTACATACATTAATTTAGGCAGTGGTACCACCGTGTCGGCGCCTTTCTGTAATGAAATTACAGAAAGGCGCCGACACGGTGGTACCGCTGCCTAAATTAATGTATGTAATGTATATAATATGTATATATATACATAATATGTATATATATACATATTATATACATATAATTATTTTTTTTCAAAAAAAAAGATATTTGACGGAAAGAGAAAAAAAAGGTCTTCAATTTCTGAATTTTGGTGCGCCCAAATATGGTCAGCGCTGTCAAAAACGATCTAGAATAGCCTCTGTATATAAATGTGTGTACATATATGTATGTATGTATGTAGTTATGCATATATACATATATATGTATATATATATATATATATATATATATATATATATATATATATATATATATATATATATATACACATATATATGTATAAACACATAGTAATACAAGTTTATATATATATATATATATAAACACATAGTAATACAAGTACACAAGTTTTTTTTATTTGACTAAATAAAAATAATAAAAATGTACAAAAAACTAATGATCATTATTATTATTGAAATGACCATTTGTGTTTTGTGCATTGGATACTACTAAACTTTCCTATTACTAAACTTTCCTACTACTAAGATACCCTTAACAGCACAAAAACTAGCTTGATTAAAGAGAAAGTTGATTATCGTCAAAACCTTACTCTGTCTGCATTAAAAAATGCAGTATTATGAAATTAAAGTGCTTTAAGCGTTCCAAAAAAATATCTTCAACAATTACAAAGAATGAAATTGTTGAAACCAAGTTATTAGGTAAAAATTTTTTTTAAACAATTACAAAGAATGTAATTGTTGAAACCAAGTTATTAGGTAAACTTTTGAAAAACATTTTTTAATTGCATTTTAAGTCAGAAGTCAGACAATATCCTTTAAAAAGCAAATTTATAAACATAAAATATAGTAGTAGTTGTTAAGCACTAGTTTCTCACTATTCAACCATTGGTATAAACCTAAAAATGGTTACAATTAATCCCTTTATGACCTACATATGTAGATTATAAAGTAATTAATCCTCACAATGTTTCAGATGGTACTGTGCTTAACGTGTTTCTCTTGACCTTTTTTGTCAAGGTTCATGTTTTGAAATTCAGGGTTTGATAGAAGTTTTCATATTTATACATTCATTATTAATAATTATATATTTTAATAGTATAATAGTAATAAAATAATATATAATAATATAAATAAAATAATATATAATAATTATATAATAGTAATAAAATAACATCCTTAAGAGTAATGGATCCCTCAGCTTTGAATGGATAAAAAAAAAAAAACAGGTTTTTCATTTAATTTCAGTACCAAAATCAGTATCAAAAGTTCAAGTTTATTTTCGATTTGTGAACTTCAAAGACTTTCTGCAGTAAACTTTTATATTTAAGATTTATTTTAAATAAAATTTTTGAGTTCAATAACAAAATGTTTTTTTTCTTAACTTTACAATTTACATTTTCAAAATGTAAACCAGAATTTTATTAAGTAAAAGCTAAATAAAAAGCCACATCAATCTAATAATTTATCTTATTTTATCTTGCTTGCTCATTACTTGTCTCATTACTTTATCATTACTCATTACTTTATCTTATTTTATCTTGCTTGCTCATTACTTGTCTCATTTGCTTTGCTCAGATCATTTTCCTTTCTTATTTTGGCATAAACATAGTGTTTGTATTTATAGCTCTAAGTAAACATTAAGTAATACAATGATATAGTAAATTTAAAATGTTGATTATATAATTTACTATAACTAAATATACAATTATAATATTTACAATAATAAAATAAATGTTAATGTATTACAATAACATAATCAAGTTTCAAATTAATTTAAAAAAGAACATGATTTGAATTATTAAAATACAGTAATGTCTTAAAAATTACTTGAATAGTTTGTGCCATATTTATATCAACATAATCGCTTCCTCTTAATACAACCCATAAAAGTTGAGTATCAGAATCAAACCAGTTACTTCCAAGGTTACTAGTTATGCTTGGAACATATTTTAATGGATTAGAGCGATCCTTCGGCATATAGTTTCCATTTTGACGATTGTTAGGATCAACAAGAATACTATCTATAAAATAATGCCATCATATTATCATATATAGTAAATTGTGGATGTTTCAAATAAATAAATATAAAAAAATATTACAAAATATCACAATAACTAGTAGGACTAGAAAAAGAAATTTTTAAAAACCTAAATTAAAAAAAAAACAGGGTTAGTTAAAATTTAAGAAGTATAATGCACCAATGTAAAATCTTTATTTTTTATTCATTAATTTGAACTTGACAAAATTCTCATTAAATTTAATGCAAATTAATCAGAAAACTGTTATTTGCATCCATAAAAAATGCATCCATTTTTTAGGGAAGTTTAATAAACAAAAATGTATACATATTTTTGAGGGAAGTTTTATAAACAAAAATACAAACATTTTACTTCTAATAGGATAACTGAAGTTTTGTGTTAAAATTTAACAGACTTTTTAATAATGAATTTTAAAATATCTTATTTTAATAAAAATCATACCTATTAATATAATGTGATAACTTATGGTATATTAGATATTACAAATTTAATTTAAAAAATTATAAATTTTACATATATCTTATACACAACACTGCTTCTGTTGCAAAACCTACTATATCTACTTTAAAAAAAATCGTGGTTTCCTGATTCTATTTTTATAGTCAATTTTAATGATCAACTTAATAGAAATAAGTAAAATGAAAACTGTTCTATTAATTTGATTTAGTTTTTTAAATAACGATGTTTTAGTGCACCATAATTTTTTAGACTTACCAAGCTACGACCAAGGTAGCTTGGAAAGTAAAAATAGTGAAGTTTTTTTCAGCTCTGTATGGAATACTATTACATATCTAGGCTGGATTTGAATGATGAATGAATAGGAAATATTGTTATAAATTTCAATAGTAATTTCGTGCATTAAAAAATAAATATTTTATAGAAAAGATGTTAAGAAACTGTTAAGAACTTCTGTTACATAATTGGATATAACAATAAATAATTAAAAACTTAATTTAAATGATTTTTAAACTTAAATTTGATGTTTTAATTTTTTATTTTTCATTAAAATTATCAAAAGAAAATTAGTAAAAGAATAAAAAAAAAAAATTTATAATTGTTCAAAAAGATGTTTAAAAAAACTAATATTAACATATTTGAAAAATAAGTCAAAACTTGAACTTACTTATCAAAACTTGAACTTTTTTTTTTGTGGAGTTTTTTAAACAAAATAGTAAAAAAAATAGTATTTAAAACACCTCAAAGATTAAAATTTTTTTTTTTACAAGCTTGATCCCCATGTTGGGGATTATAAGTTATAATCCCCAATTTTTTCCCCAATTTTTTTTTACAAATTCAATCCAATCACGAGTAGTGCAAGCAACCACTACATAAACTGGTTGTTAATAGAGAGCAAACAAGCTGTTGGCAGATTGAAAATCTGTCAATTTTATGAGTCATGAAAACATGATAGAAGAGTTGTCACAAGAGGGCAACCACAATGCCACAGACTGGAGTATATACTAAAAAGTATGTTTTTAGGTGATATTTATTTAAATGTTGAAGTTAAAGGCGTTATAGTAGTCAGTTAATAAAATATAATTAAAAAAAATATATATTTGGTTTTTTGAGCAGTGGTATTTTTAAGTTTTAAATTTCTTGCTAAAACCTCACTTTTTTTACTTTCCAAGCTACCTCAGTCGTAGCTTGGTAAGTCTAAAAAACTATGGTGCACTAAAACATTGTTATTTAAAACTAAATCAAATTAAAAGAACAGTTTTCATATTACTAATCTCTGTTAAGTTCTTCATTAAAATTGACTATAAAAGAAAACTTGAGAAACTTTTTTGAATTTTGTGGGAATCTGCTACTTTAAAAATTTTAAAGGCAATACTAATAAAGTCATATGTTAAATAAAATAATGAAAACACTCCTTTAAATATGACCTAAAAACAAAATTTAAAAATTGTTTTAGTGTTTAAAATAAGGTTTTTTTTGGCAACAAACAAAAACAAAAAAAAAAACAAAAAAAAAAACAAAAAAAAAAACAAAAAAAAATGACTCACATCTCTATCCATCATGGATAACCAGTGGTTACCGTGGTTAGAAAAAACTGAAATTTTAAAAACTTTACCACCTCATAGAAAGACCAGCATGCTGGACCTTATTGAAAATATTTGATATGTCAAGAGAAATAGTTCTTTCAACTAATGCAATCTTAGGTAAAACATTTCTTTTATAATAGTTAACATATTGGCAGCAAAATGAGGGAACCAAAATCTGTATTAATTATTAGATAGTAAGATGTTAGACTTGAGATAAGAAATTAGAAATTTATTAATAAAATGTTTAGAATTAATACTAAAAAAAAAGGATTGGGCAACAGTTAGAGAGGTCAGAGTGAAGTGCAGATTTTCCAGTAGGAAGAAAACATGATTTTAGATTTGTTAAACAGTTTAGAGAGTAATTATTCAACAACTTGTTGAGTTTTATTAGGTTTGAAGTTTACAAACCACTGCAAGACTTGTCACAAAAGAGAAATTACATTGCCACATGATAAAATATATATATTTCTTTTGTTATTTACCCCCTCAAGGCCGAGAAGGCCACTACAGACGAGGAGGCTACTTAATAGTGGTTATAACCGTCTATCAACTCTATAACTCCATAATACGAACCTTGACAAACAAGGCCGCTGCGCGGAGAAACAAGTTGAGCGCAGTACTACCAGGGACGTTGTGGAGATCGAACTTGGAACCTCTCGCTTATGAAGCGAGTGTTTTACCACTACACCACTACCGCATTATAGTGGCATCATCAGCAAAAAGAGTCACTTTAGAGATGAAATTATCAGAAATTTAAAAAATTATCAAAATATGAAGAAAACTCATAGAGACCAAGTCTCATAGAAAACTCATAGAAACTCAAGACCAGTGTGCAGGACTTATTCACATATTTTTGATATGTCAAGAGCAATAGTCCTTGCCTCACCACTACTATTTAATTATAGTAAAACCTTATATAGATAAAATTTTAAATAATATTGCATCGAATGATGCACAGATTATCAATAATTAAATTTTTTTTTTTTAAATTTAAAAAAAAAAGGATGAATATGAAAACTTTGTTTTGAGACAGAGCTTACGGCATCTGTTAAAGAAAAAAAAATAGGCAAAAATAAGTTTTTTAGCACATTTTTGTAAGAAAGTAAACTTATATACCAATAAGTAAATTATAAACTCATTAACTTATTAACAATATGTTACTTATAATGCAAATATTAAAACTCCACCTATATAGCGCTATTTAAAAACATATGAGTGTGAAACTCAGTGAGTTAAATTTGCGGATCAATCATGTATAATATTATAAGATGTGCTTATTATAAGAAAAATTTTTCAATAACTAAAACTCTTTTTTTTTAAAAAATATTTTGTTTTGCATTTTGTATTTATTTTATTATATTTAAAAAATCTGGAAGATTAAAAAAACACAAAACTAATTTTTCCTCAATAATATAAACATTAATAATAAAAACCTTAATTGAACTAATTAACTGCATAATAATTAAAAATTTTAGTAAAACAATTTGAACATAACATGTAATTAAAAAAATATTACTTCAAATAAAATTATTTAAAAATTAAAATTATTTAAATTTTATTTAAAAATAAAAATTAAATAAATATAATCTGCAATTATTAGTTTTTATTTTTAATTTTTATAAAAATTTGAATAAAAAATAAAAATAAAAATCAACCTTTTCCTGGACCCTTTATAAAAACATCAAGTCTCTGTCGTTTAGCATAATATATTTTAATAACAATTGAATCAGTTGGTTTGCTATTTAATAGCTGCAACCTGGTGGTTATAGGATTGTAGGAAGTAAAATGTAGTTCATAGACTTTCGATGTTGCAACTATTGCATTGAATGTTGATAACCTTTTCTGGCATGTGTAACCGTGACACCAACCATGGTCTTGTGGTCCATTAATTAGGTCAATATAACCACTTGTAACAAGAGCAACCTGATAAAAATAAAATATATATATATAAAAAAAAAAATAACAAAGAATACTAAACTTTATTTTTAATATAAAAACAAGGCCAATCATAAAAAGTTCAAAATAAAAAAACAATCAAAACTAATAAAATAATAAAATTGATAACAAAAACTTTGTTATTTATGTTTGATAAAAAAAAACACTATAAACACTCAAAAACTATTTTAACAAAGATTGCTCAACCTTTTTAAAACTAAATCCAAGTTAAATGACCATATACAAGTTTATTTAAAACATATTAAAATGTTGCAAACTTCATATTTTTTGTTTTTGCTACTTATATTTGTATTGATAAAAAAAAAAAAAAACAATCAAAAAAATATTAACTAAACTGCTCAAATTTTATAAAACTATTTCCAAGTTAATTGACTGTATACAAGTTATATTGAAAGTTAGATGACCACATACAAGTTTTGTATGTTTGTGCTAACAAATTGTAAATTTTGATAAGTAATAGGAAGTAATTAGAAGTAATTTAAAACCTTTATTTAAAATCAAATTAAATTAAAATAGATATTTAAAACCTTAATTTAAAATCAAAAAACAACAGACTGAAATATAAATGATAACTTAAAGTATTATATTCTAATAGAAAATAACAAAATACTACCAATGTGATAAATGCTATTAGTTAAAACTTTATTATAAATACAACAAGTCGCTAAAATTGGTACTTATTGGAGTAATTAACTTGAGCCGATAAGATATGGAAATATATATGAATTATAAAAACAAAAAAAACATACAGAGTTTAACGCTGTAATAGATACCTAGATCGAATGTTGCTAACCAATAAAAAAAAGTAAATACTAATTTGATGGTTAACTTTTAAACCTAATTACAAAAGTTTCTTTTTTTTATCAATTTTTTTATCCTGACTCACTTTTAACAAGACTGGTTGCACAGCAACCACTATAAAGTTACAAGAAAAAAGGGGAGTTACTAGAAAAAAAGAATAGAGTTATAGAACAGTTAACAAAAGGCTTGAAAAGTTGAAAGTTGTATGAGTCAGGAAAACATGAAGATGGGAGAGAGTTCCAAAGAGATAAAGTGTGGTGAAAAATAACTAGGCGAATAAAAGTTTTTAGAGCATGCAGGGACAGATACAGTAAACAAATGAGACTTTGCTGAATTGCAATTCGAGCAAAAATGAGTTGATAGCAAATGAGACTTGACTGAATGACAAGTCAAACAAAAATCTTAGTTGATGGAACTAGAGATGATAGGTCCTTTGAGCAGAATTCGTGAATATTTGATGAAAAGAGAAAGAGATGCAACTTTATGACGATGGGAAAGAGATTCAAGCTTAGTAGATAGGGCAGGTCGAAATATGTTTACATTGCATTTTTAAACCTTTTTTAGAAGAGAAAGACCATCATTAAAAAAACCAGCCTAAATATGACAACAATATTCCATACAGACACAAATAAGAGATTTGTAGAGGTAGAGAATGGAATCAGGAATAAAAAAATAGCGAAGCAACTTTAGCAGATGTTAATTTAGCAATAAATTGTATATATGGTTTCCATTAGCAAATGTTCGTCTAAGAAGATGTAAAGAAGAGGATTCAGTGAGAGGGTTGTCATTCATTAATGTGGACAGTATTGCAATAGTTGTTTGCAGTAAATAACTTTGTATTGTTGGAGTAAAAATTTACAAGCCACTGCAAGCCCTAATCTGTTACAGAAGTGAGATCAGATTCAGGATTAGCTACCTGTTCTAAGCAATCAAAAAGAGAGACTTTTTTTCAAGAAAGGAGTATAAAATTGAGTCATCAGTAAAAAGAGATAATTTAGATTTAAGGTTGTCAGGTAGATCATTAATGTAGGTAAGAAACAAAACTGAGCATCTAAGCAATTTTTGAACAAGTTTTGATTGATTCTACCACAAGATGTACATGAAAGTTATTATAGAATTGGGCAAAGATAAACTCTTTTCTGACATTAAAAAAAAAAAAAGATACCTTAAATTTTTACGCAACTCATAATTGGACAATGAAAAATAAATAATTTTTTGTCATAATTTTTGAGAAATATTTTATCTAATCAATATTTACTGTATATTGAATTCATTTTTTTTTATAAAATTAAATTTATTTTACAAGATTTTTTTTAATTGAAAAAACAAAAAAGAAAAGGTTTAAATTAAACTTTTGTAAAATTTTTTTTAGCTGTATAATAAATAAAACAGGTAATTCAATAAATACTGATTTAGAAAATAAATATTTGATTTAGAAAATTTAGTTAATGCAAGAAGTTTGACTTACTGGAGAAAGTCTTCGACTTTCTGAATCAGCATCTAAACTTTCAATAATCAACATTTTGTAAACAGTGTAGTTGTTACAATAGTAAGCTCCCCATTCAATTTTAAATACGCATTTATCGCGATAGATTCCTTTGTTAGGGAAGAGCGTGTTTGCATCCAATCGTGATCCATTTGAGGTAGTAAGAAGTGTCTTTGGAATGCGAAAATTACCTGAAACAATAAAATTATCAAATATAAATTTTTACAATATAAATGTTATCTAATATATTCAACATTAAATCAATTATATTCTGAAATAAGTTTTTAATATTTCAAAGATTTTAACAAATAGTGTAAGTTCTAATATAAAGTAAGTACCTAAATAGTAAAACATACAAATAATAAATATCATTATAATTAAAACAATTAAAAACAACAACAATAACAACAAAAATAATAATAGAAATAACAATAATAATAATAATAATAATAATAATATAATAATAAAAGTAATAGTAAATATAGTTTATACAACATAAATATAGTTTATACTATTATGTATTATTACACAGTTTGTTTACAATATTAAAATTTTTTAAAATATTACAAATTTTAAAATATTAATTTTAAGCAAATTGTGTTATAACTTGTTTCTGACAAATTGTGTAACATTTTATTTCTAACAAATTGTGAAACATAGTATATATATATGTTTTAACTGTACAGCTCTTTATTTCTAAAAACTATTTAATATTTCTTTTTTAACAAATTGTGAAAAAAAATTTTATGAACTGTACAGCTCTTTATTTCTAAAAACTGTGTAACATTTCTTCTCTAACAAATTGTGAAACATAGTATTTTTTATTAATACAAATTGTGCAACATTTCTAAAAAATTGTGTAACAGTTTATTTATAGCAAACTGTGAAACATTTCATTTCTATAGTGTGAACCCTTTTGAACAAATCTTACTAAAATTTCTAAAACTTCTAAAAGCTTTTTTCTAAAAAAAACCTTACTTTTAGTTGTAGTTTTTTTTTCATCAAATGTCAACATTTTAATTATGGAAAATCATAACTAAATAAAACTTATAGAATCTAAGAGATTTTAAAACTTATTCTCTGGTGCTATTGATCTTAAAGCATTACTTAAAATGGACATCATCATATATACATTCTTTAATTCTAATTAACTATGACAACACTCCCATTTTTTAACTCTACAATCTCCGATTTGTGTTATTTCACTGCATTTTGTCACTATATTTTTTGTTGG